GCTCATGAATCTGCACAAGCTGAGTGGAAGAGCAGTAAAAAGTTTCTGGAGTTAAACGAGCGGGTAATTACTCGATGGGTAATTTTGAAGACTAGTGAAGCGGCATTCATTCTGTGAATGCTTTACTGTTCATCTCCTCCTCCTGTTATTCTCTTGCAGGAGAGTCTGAGTGAGCAGGCCCAGATACTTCAGGGAAAGATCTCTGTTCTGGGGGATGAACTACAGAAAGCTCAATCACAGGAAAAAGGAGTGGTTCTGGGAACCAGCATTGAGGTGAGTAGATAAAAAATAAAATGAAGGAATCGGTTATCAATGAAATAATGTAAAATTGGAAATCTGTTTTTAAATGGATCAATGGATTGATAGACATATTTAAAACTTTTAGTTCATGCTTTAAAATTTAATTAAAATAAAAAGTACTGTTTTTTTTTTTTCTTTTTTTAATTGTAAAACATGAGTTTAATTTAATTTAAAATTGAATCCTTTTTATTTATTTCATGTTTTAAATTGTTGTTAAAGGTTTTCATTTGTTTTTATTTTAACTACATTTTATAACATGAATTAAATAAACGGGTTTAAATTTTTCAATTTAGAGACATTTGTTTAATAGTTTTTTTTGTTTGTTTTTTTTTTTGTTTTTTTTTTTACAAATTAAACCATTTGAAGTGTCTATTTTTCAAAAAGAAATTGAATTGAAATGTATTTAAACAGTTTTTTATTTATTTATTTTAATTTAACAACATTTTGTAACAGGATTTAAATATTTTGAAATGTCTATTGAATTTCTCGTCATTGTTGACTGTGTAAATTGCTAGTATGCAAAAAAAAAAAAAAAAAAAATTATTTATATATATATATATATATATAATGTGTATATAAAATATATAAAAAATAATTAAACCACTAGTTTTGATAACCTTGTCTCTTTTCAGGCTTTGACCAAAATCGAGAGCTTCCTAACTCAGATTGTGTATTTGTCCGAACAGATTTCCCTAAAAGATGAAGAAATCACAAATTTGAGGAACAAGTATGACTCTGTAGACCATGAGCTGAAGCTTGTGAAGGAACAAAATATTGAATTAAAAGAAGTGATCAAATCAAATTGCCAAGTGCATGAGGACACTGTTAAGAAACTTCAGCAAGAGCTTGACTCTGCTGCTTCAAATGCTTCAGAAAAACAAGAAGAGATGCTGGTTCTGTCAGCGGAGGTAACGTCTCTTAAAGAGCAGATCTGCTGTTACAGTGAAAATGGAGTGCGGAAACAACAAGAACTGTCTGTTTTAGAGGCACAGCATGGTGTGTTGAAGGAAAAATTGACGTCTCTTCAGAATCAGTTGGCCGAGGTGAAGGAATCTGAGCTTAAACGGGAGCTTTGCCATCAAACAGTGCTAAGAGAAAAAGCTCAGGGGCTCGAGAGGACTGTGAGGGAACATCATACCGAAATTTCCGCTCTTGCCTCAGAGAGAGATGCTCAAATAAGTTCTCTTAAAGCTGAAATGAAGAATCAACAGCTGAGATCCCAGAGGCTGCGAGCTCAGCTGGAGCTGAAGGTGGAAAAGCAAAACGGCTCCATTCTTGCTCTTAAAAACATGGCTCGACAATGGAAGCAGCAGAATGAGGAGCTCCTGGAGAAGCTGAAGATCATGTTCACACAATTACAGCATTACAGTGGTAAAAACAAGGAGGAACGGGAGATGAACAAATCTCTTGTGAACTCCCTGCAGGCCAGAAGGAGAGAAGTCGAAGATCTTCAGGTGGAACGAGACCAGGCGAAGGCCAGAGTCAAAAGCTTGGAGGCTCGGGTTGGTTTACACTGAATCCTGCTGTCTTTTTGAGGTTTCAGTGTAGTTTCATGTGCAACTGTGTTTGTTTTAGTTGGCCGTCGCTGAAAGGCATCTGCAAGAGCGGAGGAAGATGACCGATGACACTGAGGATGTGAGATGCAGGGAAACACAGCAGGATACCAACAATGAGAGCTTGAACTTTGAGCTGAACTATTCGTTTAATGCTAATGCACATGATCTGCCTGGTATCGGAGTGGAGGATAAACCAGAGCATACTGCAGACGACTGGATGCGTGTCGCAGAACTACAGGTGCGAAACAAAGCCTGTCTGCCTCACCTGAAGAGCAGCTACCCTCTAGAGTCCAGGGTAAGCGTACCTGCTAGCATCTGTATGCTTTGGTTTTACTGAAATACAGGTTTGAGTCTGGCCTGTTTTGTGATTCACATTTCTCATATTTCCAATGTTTTTTCACTAAATTAAACCACTATTTTTTTCAGACACTGGACCTGATCACTCCCATTTTATAATAAACACTTAAAGGGATAGTTCACCCAAAAGTGAAAATTCTGTCATTAATTACTCGCCCTCATGTCGTTCCAAACCCGTAAGACCCTCGTTCATCTTCAGAACACAAATGAAGATATTTGATGAAAACCGAGCTTTCTCACCCTCCATAGACAGCAAGGGTACCACCACGATCAAGGCACAGAAACGTAGTAAGGACATCGTTAAAATAGTCCATGTGGCATCAGGGGTTCATCCGTAACTTTATAAAGCTACAAGAATACTTTTTGTGCGCAAAGAAAACAAAAACGATTTTATTCAACAATTCTATAGAGTTTTTTTTTTTTTCTTGGGTCTGAGGGTCCACTGAATTTTTGAGAGAAAATGTGAAAAGGGAAAAAATTGCTTTAAATCTAGTTTTATGAAAATTTTGAATTTATTTTATTTTACTTTTTTGCTTGAACGATCTATATAACATAGTTCACGTTTCTTTCAAACTTAGGGTGCACTTATTTTATTTATTTATTTTTGAGAAATGGGCGGAGGGCAATATTTATTTTGAAAAAATTAAATTACTAATTTGTATTTTTTTTTTTTTTTTTTTCAAACTGGGTTCTGTGGGTCCACTGAATCTTGTAATGTATTTAATTTATTGTTCATTTATATTTTATTTCTTTATTTATTGGTAATGTATCCACTTTTTTAAAAACGCATTTAAAAGCGCAACACTTACAATTGTATTTTTTATTTTTTTTGTGTAGCTGTTAATTTAATGGCAAAGTAATATTATGCAAACTATTTTAACTTTTTTTTTTTTTTTTTTTTTTTTT